GTGCCCAGCAAGTACAAGGTGAGCACGGCCTTCTCCAAACAGGAGTGCTATCGGGCCACGGTGTGCTCAGGAGGCTGGGGCAGGAGGAGCCCTGTGAGTTCGAGGCCAGCCTGGGCTACAGAGCGAGACCTTGGGAGTCCCAAGAGTAGCTTTGCAGCCTTAAGTGTGGCCCTGCTCTCCAGAGCCCTTGTTGGGGACCCCGTGCTGCTGGTTCTGCTCTTCAGCATCTCTGAGCGCCACACTGAGAGCTGAGGGCCACTCAGCTACAGCCGGAGCCCAGCCTCTCGCCAGTCAGATTAGGATTCCTGGGGCTGCTTCTCTGTGCCCCAGATGGCCCTGCCAGGCAGCTGGGGAGAGCTGCTGTCCAGAAATCCTCGTGGCTTTGGCAACCCCCCAGGAGGCCTCTGGACAGAAGGGAACCAGGCAGTGCAGAATGAGGCTTGGTGGTTAATGCAGGAGTTATCTGCAGGACTCCTTCCCACCTGGCAGTCAGGCACTGTGCTTGGCTGTGTTGGTGAGATGTCAGAGCCTTGGTGCCGGGGCCACCTGTGGCTACCATTGCACACCTCCCAGCCCCCGACACGCCTAGCTCCCACAGCCAGAACCCTATCACTTACCAGGTGACCCCTTTGGTCCCCAGGTGGAGGTACTGTACGATGACGAGCCCCTGAAGGAGTACTACACACTCATGGACATCGCTTATATCTACCCCTGGAGGCGGGTGAGCGGTAGGGCCCGTGGGCAGCAGGTAGGAGACAGCCCAGGGCCGCCCGGCCCATTCCATACCAGATCTTCGGAAGAAACAGGCCTTAAAGTCAGCCATGATGGGCCGGGGAGATAGATGCTCAGAATAAGCGCTTCCCTGGCAAGCGCAAGGGCCTGAGTCCAATCCCCGGTTCCGCAAAAAAGAGAGAGAGAGAGAGAGAGAGAGAGAGAGAGAGAGAGAGAGAGAAAGAAAGAAAGAAAGAAAGAAAGAAAGAAAGAAAGAAAGAAAAGAAAAGAAAGAAAGCTTATCGCCCCAGCACTGGGGAGACTGAGGCAGGAGGGTTGCTGCGAGTTGCATAGCAAGACCCTGTCTCAACCAAACCCCAGCAAACTTCAGAGGATGGAGTGCTTTCCATGCCCACCCCTCCCATCGTCTTCATGTGTGCCTGCGTCTGTCCTGCCTGTTCTGCAGTCTGTCCCGTTTTTGCACAGGCACTGGGGCATAGGGCTGGCTGGGGCTGGATGGCGTGTGGGTGTGGCTCTCCTGACACCGCCTCTGTCCTCCCTGTCTCCGCAGAATGGCCCCCTGCCCCTCAAGTACCGTGTCCAGCCGGCCTGCAAGCGGCTCACGTTGCCCACGGTGCCCACCCCCTCTGAGGGTACCAACA